TAATATTTTGGGTTGACTTATTTTTCTGAATATTCCGAATAATGAAAAATTATAAAAAATTATTTTTCTATAAGTTATTTTAAAGAAATAAATGCAGCGGATTCAAAAATTAAATAAGAGAAAACCCTTTTGTGAACATGCATGTGAATCATGTGATATTAAGCATAATAAAATTCAAAACAGTGATGGATGTGTTTGGTGAAGAAGTTATTTGATTGTTTGCCGCCATCCACCATTTTTGGTCCATCACTTACAATTTTGTCCCAGACACGGACAGCAAACAATGGAAGTTTGAAAGTGCTTTATGGTTTATGCTTCCAACACAAATTTTTCCTTTCATAGAATTTGAGTTAAGATGCAAATACTGTCTTAGTGCAAATGAAATTATCAAATTGAATTTGTTATTCTAGGTCAGCAATTATCTTTGTTTTTGTTATTCCGTCTTCTTCAATCCAAAATCATATTTTATAAGCAATTTCTGCTTTATTAGTTCAAATTAAGGGTGCGATTGCAGGAAAAAAAAAAAATCAAATTCGAGTAATAGATAGGAATGGCCCAACCATTAATTAATTTAGAGATTAGAATTGAAATGTTGATAGTATATTCTTGGAGACCAAATATTTAGAATGTTAGATTAGGTGAAACAAAAAGTGGGTGGGTGCATATAAATACAATACAACTTGCTTGAAGGAGTATGGTAGATTGATATAAGGGTTGACCCACCTGATCCTTATCACTCCCAAGATGTCAACTTAAGACAACATTTTGTGGTCGGTGACAGCACAATATAAAATACCAATTATAAAATCAACTTAAGTCACGGTACTAGACATGTCATGGTTGCATGAAAATTGCTATTTTTTAATACTTTTCTGCGGATTATTTTTTAATACTAGTGGTTTGTGAAATATAATTAGTCAATTTTGTGTTTTAAAAATAAAAGAGGTATTTCATCATTTCATAAAGTATTTAATAGAAAAGAAGTAAAAATTGGATAGAAAGACTTTATAGTTTAACGAAAGTAAACTATAAAAATACTTTAACTATTTTAAAAAAGATAAGTATGGATTAGTTGTATTTTACAAATTATATGATCGTACTATATTTTTTCCTTTTTTATTTTAAAAAATACAATTTTGTCCCTATAAAATATGCAAATTAACGCATGTGTCCTTGTATATTGGCAATTACACTAAGTTATGCCTAAATTATGTTTCTATTACAACAAGTTTGCCCTTCTATCCTAAATCCACCAATTTAGGGAAAAGACTAAATTGACCTCATATGTAGCTAAGACGAATGAGGCAAAAAAACGTTGGAGGGAAAAGAGGAAAAAGAAACCCTAGAGTTTCGCTGTCATGAGAATAGCTCTTGGGTTCTTCTCCTCATGCCCATGGCTGCAATAGAATATAAGCACTAAAGTTATTTAATAGCTGGTATTATGAGTCGAGAAGGATTGAAATAGTGTTTCTTTGCTCATTTCGTGAAAATTGTCTTTGGAGAAAAAAAGGTACGCCGTTCATACAACACTTTCAATTCAAAATTTTGGTTTTCTTGAAATCTTGATGGCTATAAAATAGTTGTTTTATTAAGTAGATGTGTTTCATTTCTTTTTGAATGCTTCTGTTATTGCGAAAACTGAGAAAAAAGTGAAGGTTTTGGTGTACTATATACTTGGATAGTTAGAAAAAACAACAATGCTCTATTTTTTCATTACAGGATGACTTTCCCTCAATACTTTAGGATATTTATTAAATTTGGAGCTAGGATAGTAACTATATCACATATCAACATTGATAGGTATTCATATCGCGAATTCGTAAATGATTTCTATAAGTTCTTCAGAATTAATGCTACATTTCTTGAGATAAGTTTATACAATGTAATGAGGATTTACTAGCAATGTTTGAGATGTTCAAGGAAGATAGGGAGGTTGAAATTAACGTAATTGCAAGGAATGTGGAGACCGTAGCTTTCAAAAGACCACCTAGTGACGATGGTGAGCCTATTGTTTTTGTTGGAGAACGTTCTGGATTAACAGTAATACAAATTATGTGCCACCTGAAACTTTTGATATTCCCGAACATGAACCAAGTCAATTTGGAGATAACATTGATTTAAATTCTGAGATGCCTGAACATAATAACCTATTAAGTTATTATAATATTATTCTTGAAAATTAAATCTTAATCAATAAGATAGTAAGTGAATTTTACTAATTTTATTAAGTTAATTATTGAAATTATTTTAATTAGTATTTTATGTTTATGAGAGCATTTGGACTTTGGAATAGACAATAATCGGTAAAACTAATTGAATCGAATCGAATTTGCTTTGATTTGCTTTTGGAAATTTTGCTTTAATATTATTTCAATAGAAAAAATCTTTTGTTTTTTTTTTAGTTTGGTATATTTTTTAAGACTAAAAAAAACTGAATTGATGTAGAAAATTAAATCGAACTGATTTGATTCATATTGGTCTTATAAATAACTCAATTTGATTTTTTATATGTAAAATTTCAGGTTATTCTATTTATACTAATTCAATTGGATTCAAATTCAACTGTTTTGGAGGATGGTTTTTTTCCCTCACCTCCGATTAGAAAATGAACTTTAAAAATATTTTCCAATCATAATAAAAGGAAAATGAAGAACTGTAATATATATCGTGGGGATGGGAAGTAGAGAATTAAAACCCATTACTTTTTACTTATCGTGGGGATGGGAAGTAGAAACCGAGGAGGACAGGTGTTGTGAGCCAAAGGAATCTAATCTAAGGGCATATGCTTTCTTCAACAAAAGGCTAAGCTTCACTATGGCCAGTCATAGACTCATAGTAGCTCCTCCTTTGTTGGCGTGTACTTCCACTTTTAAGGGAAAGTGCTTCTTTATTATTATTATTTTTTTAATTTATTTTTCTTTTCTCTTTTGTTTCATCAAGTGAAGGGTCTCCATAGATTGTGGAGCATATAGCATAGAATTGGTAAAAGAAAGATTTAACCCGGCCTAATAGAGGAATTTTAACTCGAGATCTTATAGTATTTTTAATTTTTTTTTATTAAATAGTTCAACTTATAAAATTACATATATTAAATAACTCAATTTAAAAAATCATTCTATTTAATGTTCAAACTTATAAAATTAAATTAATTATATATTTATTGGATAATTTTTTTTATTTATTAGAAGATCACAACGATTACACAACAGCAGAAAGTTGTTTTCTCTTTAGTTTATTAAATCGAGAAAACTCGAATTCAAAATCTTGCACTCTTTACATAAAAAAACAAAATTAACAAACTATACATGATTAGCATATGTATTGGATAGTTAAAAAAATGTGAAAAATTATTATTTTAAAGTTTTATTAATCGCACATTAAATTAGTATTATACAAAAGCTAAAAGCCCTAAAAAGTTTTATTGCTTATAAGAGAAAGGTGCAATATTATTAAATTGGTAATTTTATTTGTCGGATAAGTTTCTTGAAAAAAAAAAGAAAAAGAAAAAAGCACGAGTGGATTAATGTGTTTAACAAAAAAATTTAATATAGGTGTCTCTACGTACACCGTAGATGAGAGATTAAAGGGGATTTAAGGCATATTCCAAAATGTGAGTTGGAGTTATGAAATCTTTTTTCCGATTTGTCTCTTAAAGTTGAAGGATCTCATACATCATCTATTGCATTTGCTGCCGCACCAATTTTGTCACTACAAAAAGGCTCTCTCTTGCTTGGCACTCATCCTGTAATCCATTTCTATGATAAGATTAAAATTTGTATCATCATGATTCAATTTTTCTTTTTCATTAAAATTTGTATGAGACTCAACAATGGAAGCCCAACCCATTTAAATGAAATAAAATAAAGAACTACCTTTTGGTAGTTCAATGTCTCACAAGACTAAGCAACATCTTATAAGGGTTAAACTATAATGGGAGCCCAACCCATTCAAATAAAATGGTTGTGTTTGAAGCATTTTGGAATCCTACTTAATTTTTCTAATCTTACGCTGCCAAATATTAGTAATTTGGCTTAGCACTTTTTAGGAAACAAACGTTTACTTTATATATATTGATTATACAATAAATGGTTATTTTACATTTTAACCACTGCCAAAATTTTACGAAACACTAACATTCATCGATTAATTGCTATCATGATGTGAACAATTAAATCAAATATAAAAAAAATCTTCTAAGTTACAAACTTCTTTTAAGGACCGGCATCATAGGTTCAAACGTGGATGATAGAATTAATTAGAATCTTTTCCACCGGTTTAGAGCCTAAAGTTCCTCAAACAATTTAATTTTTTTCAACTCTAGCAACTTTGCAGCGGCATGCTCCTTCATGGTTTCACTTTTCTTCCATCCGAAACACCTTAAACTCTCTTTTTAAAGTGAGCAGCTTGACTATTTTCACTTGATAGAGGGGTGTCGGATATGCTCCATCCTCGACAACCTCCCATAAGTGTAAAGCTTCTAAATAAGCTTTCTCTTTAATTACCCAGTAATTTTATAAACACTGACTGGTTCCTAAAAAAATGCTACTAGAAGCCATTGTTTTTTTGTATCCCACACCCTAAAATAGGATTCTCACTTCTACAGGACCTTCAAGAACAAGTTAACTATAAGATTTTATACAAGAAAATCGAGGGCAAGAGAAGTTTTTTTGTTGCTTGATACATCCAGCTTTGGTAGAAGCCTATTTATACAAGAGTTTACAAGTTAACAATTAACTATTTAAAGAAGAGATCGATTCTAATATAAGAAGCTTTTGCCTGAAGAAGGCTGCCCAATTTTAGCAAACAGAATGTTTTAAAACTAAACTTACACATGCACTTAGTTTTGAAAATCTAGTTTTTCATAAAGCTACTGATTTATTAACTGAAACATAAATGTATTAGGAAAATTCTTAATACGAATCCAAACCGATGACATTTCTTTTCACTGTTTCTCATCCAAGAGGCATGCCCTGTTACTCGATATATGCATGAACAAAGAATTTGAAAACACAAACAAAGCTACCAGTATACTTCTACTAGGAAATATGAATTACATACAATATAGTTCACGATACTTGTACATCTCACAAAAGATCATCCCGACAAGCATAACAATGTCATGTATTAGTTGCAACAATTAGTGGTATTTCCGGGTCGAGTACCAAGTCACATTACAGCTTAAAGTATTTTAACTTCACATGCGAACCCACCTACATTTAACTCCAGTAATCCCAAAAAAAGCTGTGTCCAATACACTACATGTCCCAAACTTTCCATCAGAAAGCAACTGCAACCCAAGGGGACCATCACTTTCCTCTGCAATGCACAAGGGAAAAGAATTGCTAATGTCATGAGAAGAAGCTGAATGATATTGGGAAAGTTAGAAGAGGGCGTTTTGACTTACGAGTTCATCATCAGAGTAATATTGTCTCCTTTGAGAAGAATCCTTCCTGAAAATTTTGTAAACATAATATAATTTAGGGATTTTGCACGATTGACAAAAGAAAATGTTTAAAATGGGAATTGGCGATTTACCTAAAGACTTTCTGGTCTTTTTCTTGACATTGACTTCCTCAGCATCGTCAAGAACCAAATTCATGTACTCATCAAAACCCTGTTAAGCAAAACAAATGCCATTACAATTCTTGGAAGATGTTAATTATAAATTAATTATTGAACAGTAAATCAAAAGACAACCAAGCCAACGATGTGCGTTTAGCACATATGCAAGAGATTTGTTCACCCTAAGAACCTAAAGAGGGAGAGAGAGGCTATCAACAAGAATATTGCTATATGAAAAAGAACAAAACCTAAAAAGACTACCAAGTTAACATTTTCTAGTCCAGCTCATTATGAAATACTAATGCCTGGACCCCTCATAATTTTGCAAATCCAAAAGCAAAAAAAAAAAAAATAATAATAATAATAATAAGAAGAAGACGAAGAATCTATAAATAAAAACATCAACAAAGCATTATGATACGAGATACAGCTAAAGAAAGCATTTAGTGCAAATGATTTCACACACAAAAGCGCATCAATGTTCTTCCATCTGTTCATATATAAATTTAAAATATGTATATTGATATCAATTTCTTTAGGCAGAAAAGTAAAGTGTTGCATGACTTTGAACCAAAGAGTCAAATCTTTTTATTGATCCAAAGAGACCGTAAGAAAGCTCAAACCAATCAATAAATACTAACGTCAAAATAAAATAGAGGTACCAAGGTAATATAATGAACATAACACAAGCAGCGGGGGAATTTAAAAAATTAAAATTAAGAACTCAAAGGAGCATTGTAGTATATGTTTTTACTAAAAATAAGAACTCAAATAAGAGGCAAAGTAAAAAAGACCAATCAGCCAAGGAGCATTGTAGTATACGTTTTTACTCAATTCAAGCCAACAACATGGTAATAAGATGATCTATATATATATATATATATATAAGAGGCAAGTAAAAAGACCAATCAGGCCAAGGAGCATGTAGTATAACGTTTTTTACTTCCAATTCAAGCCAACATACATGGTAATAAGATGATCATACATATTTATATATATATATATATAGAGAGAGAGAGTCAAGAGAGAGAGAAGAGAGAGAGAGAGAACCCTTTACACACTATGGACAGGGGAAAGAAAGAAAAAGCTATAGAGTGCAGTAGAGCTGTAATATGCTGAAGCTCGTGCTTCCCCCCTTTCATCTAAAGCATCTCTCGTATGTTAGATAAAAATATTTTATTCCTGATTTTACGCTTAAGAATGATAATATAGGGTGCCCATTAGAATTTTTTTTTGATACATATATAAGCGCGACAGATGGTGTGGAGACAACCTAAAATAAATTTATATATGAGTGCCACCTTTTTACGGAAATGTACTCATATTGCTATACCCAATAAAAACACAACTCTAGATAAAACTGTGTCACATTATACAGATACAGCACTCACTGCAACTATGTATTCCTCTCCGTCTTTAATGTCGCACAATACCAAAATTCCCTGCTAAAAATTACGTATGCTACGCTACATTATGTAGTAATACCATCTCAAGCTTATTCATCCCATCATAATACTCATTGAAAATACCCAACATACCACCCTATGACCAAATACTTCCTATATAGAGCAATCATCTCAATGATTTGGTAATGCTACCTATATACACTGTGCTCTCTATAGTCTAACATAACTGCATAAAGCATACTATGTAAAATTATTATCATGATTTATTTTACACCAGTAGGACAAAAAAATATACTCTGTTGTTTCCTTTATTAATTTAAACTTCCACGAAACACATTAAGACCACATTTTTTCACATTACAGCAGCTCTTAACTAACAGGAAAGAAATGTGTTATAGCCCATAAGAATGCTAAATATGGTAATTAACTAAGGAGAAATACTACTTCTTAAATCAGCTGGTCATTAAAAGCCCCTAATATTCTCTCATGCTTTTACTCTAGCACACCTGTCAGAGAACAAAGCTGACGAAAAATGAACATCAGTAGAGAATTGAGATCATATATATATATATATATATATATATAGAGAGAGAGAGAGAGAGAGAGAGAGAGAGAGAGAGAGAACCCTTTACAACTTATGGAAGGGAAAGAAAGAAAAAGCTATAAGAGAGCAGAAAGACTAAGTGGCTCCATAATCTAGTCCTCGATTTGAAATTTTTTCCTGAATTAGTTAAAAGAATGAAATTGGCTGATATTATGACAATACCACGTGGGGTTAAAACCAAAAATTTTTTGTTGCCTTCCGATGTTTCCATATGCTTCCAATAACACTCTAAAAACTTCACTACACAGCAAGCAAGAGATGTACCATAAATTCCTGTAAATATGTAGCTTCTTAGTATCCACTTAGGTACATCCACAACCTAGAAATCCAACAAATATTGAATTACTCTTTGGATCATCACTCATTTGATTGGGTAACCAATCACTGTGCCTCAATAGTACAAGAAGCAACAGGAATTTATCATGATTTTTAACCATGCAAAAAATAAGTCCAGAGCCGAACATTACATTTTCACAATAGAGCAAAATCAGAGAAATGTGAAGAAAGAATGCCTATGGTTTAACTAAGGGAAAACATTCAAATCAGTGACTCACAAAAACCCTAAACTCATCTTTTACTACTAGACCCTGTCAGCAAGCTGCATGAACCATCAGCAGAGAATTATAGTCCGCAAACTATGGCCTTTAAGGACCACAGTTTCAATCTCATTACAAATCACAATTTCAATCTCATTACAAATGACTGTTGTGACTCCCAAAAGGTACAAACACAAAAGACGTGATATTAGTTTGGTGGTTATTCTATCAAGAGATTGCTGACATTTACAATAACTCTAGTCAAAGTACATTCATCTACCTGTACATCTTGGCATCTTCAAGACATAAGCATTAAATAGTGTCACCGAATGCAAGTCAAATACTCATCGAGGCAACCCAGCAAGATGAGCTGCAGCCTCTAGATCCAAGAAAGCAACTCCGGCCAAGCCTGCCTAGAGAAGCACCTAGGCAGAGGCAGATAGCTGTGGATTTTACATTTATTTGTTCCATTTTCTTAGTCACCTACTAAAATTTACTTTTAGATCGCATACTTTAAACACAATAATGGCAAGGCAAAGAGACACTACTAGTAAAATGAAAAGGCAACATTTATCTTCTGCCTTAGCATCTGCTAGGGCAAAAGGCATACAGCTTTTACAAAGACACCTACAATATGGAACACAATAGAGGCAGATTAGAAGAAGAAGAGTGAATATAACATAGTACAATTCGTGATAGAAACTCGAGTAGATTACTTAAATAGGCAAAGGCAGATAGCTGTGGATTTTTACATTTATTTGTTCCATTTTCTTTAGTCACCTGCTAAAATTTACTTTTAGTTCGCATACTTTACATGCAATCATGGCAAGGGAAAGAGACACTACTAGTAAAATGAAAAGGCAACATTTATCTTCTGCCTTAGCATCTGCTAGGGCAAAAGGCATACAGCTTTTACAAAGACACCTATAATATGGAACACAATAGAGGCAGATTAGAAGAAGAAGAGTGAATATAACATAGTACAATTCGTGATAGAAACTCGAGTAGATTACTTAAATAATTGTCTTTTAGATTTTAGTTTCTTTTCTATCCAATACTTCTTTGTGCTGAACAGAAAGCATGCATCGTGATGAGGAACTTTTTTTATGAAAATCTTGATGTGATGATGAAGCTTAATGTTTGGAAGTTTTTATTAATAAGAGAAAAAGGATTATCCGTGGATATTAAAAGAGAGTATGATAAAAGTTATAAGATAAAATAATTTTGTGTTTGGATGTATTATAAAGGATAGGAAATGATTCTAAATAGCTCACATTTGCTTGATTTACGGTTTAAGAGAGAGGAAAAGAAGTGATGATTTAATATTCAATTACCATATATTTTATAATCTAATAGTTCGCCTTTTAAATTTATTTATGGGCATAAAATTACCTAATTAAAAAATTATAGATGATTTGAGGAAAGGATATCTTTTATTCCATCAATTTTGAAGGGAAAGCAAAATGAGACTCTATGGGATCAGTAATCCCATGCTAGCCTCTCTTGTCCAATGTCATTAAACTCCCCAAAAAGGTTTGTTCTCCTACACACTTTCTTCTCCTTTCTTTTCTTATTCCCACCCCCATGTTAGGGACTTTATCATCAACTGCCTGTTTTGGAGTTCAAAACAAAAAGTTCTATCTAGCAACACTGGCATTAATTAAGCGGTCTTCCCACTTCAAGGGCATTTCTCGTTTTCAACAATAATAGTATTAACACTTTCCCCTTTAAAAAAAACCAATTAGCAAAACTAATTCATTCCCTAGTTACATATTTTCTTTCGCATCTTTTTTTTTTTTTTTTAGATATTTTCTTTCGCACTTTGTTTTTTTTTTTTTAGAGCTCAAGCTCTCAATCTTTAGGGCAGGTTAGATCATACCGGGAATTAGGGCTCCAAACCCAATAATTATTACTATCAAAGAAAAAAATTGACGCCCAGCAGAATAAAAAGCACAAATTCCAAGCAGCCATAGAGTATACAACGCTAATGGCAAACCCCTAAGAGGGAAAGAAACGTAATTAAAATTCACCAAGACTAGTAACAACTAAAATTTTTTTTTTTTTTTTTTAGAGCTCAAGCCTCAATCTTTAGGGGGTTAAGATCATACCGGAATTAGGGTCCAACCCAATAATATTACTATCAAAGAAAAAAATGACGCCAGCAGAATAAAAAGCACAAATCCAAGCAGCCATAGAGTATACAACGCTAATGCAAACCCAAGAGGGAAAAGAAAAGTAATTAAAATTCACAAGACAGTAACAACTAAAAGCTTTTGGAACTTTAGTGACAAAGACAAAAACAATAACAGTGACCATTACGAAATGGTAGAAAGCTTATTTACCTACATCTTAAAAAGTAAAACGTGTATTCCTTTTAGATACCAGTAATCAAGAAACCCTCAAACTAGCATTACATTTACCAACACAACAAGCATGCCAACCTTCAACCATAATGAGATGTATTATAGCATAAACTACTCCGAACTACAAGAAAATTGAGATTTGTGAATGATCAAATTATTAAAAGCATTCCATTCAATGTTTTGGGGGTAAAGAGAAAAAGATTGTTGAAGCCATAAGTATCAGTTCCTAAAGGGATCGCACAGAAGAACTAGAACTCCAGGCATCTACAAATGCTGAGAATCAGAGAGAATAGGTACTTGCCATGATTATTAAGAAAGTAACGGTAATAGATTATAAGCAGAACCAAACTTTTGTCTTGTAGAAAATTACATTAATAACAGAATGATATTTCTCTATATTTGTCATGTGACTTGTGCTACTCTAGGCAGAAGAAGAAGAACTGCAACAATTAATCCAATAAAACAGCAACAAAATAACAGTATAAAAATGCATCAAAAGCCACAAATATATACTTATTATTAAATTAACATTTTACGAGTGAGCAACATCTTTAAAGAAGTATAATCATGGATTGTGTAAACAATAGCAAACAGATGGAAAAGAAATATAAGGAAAACTACAAAAAGCAAATTAGTTGTGTCCTTTAACCTTAGTAAATCTAAAAACTTAATATCATAAAATTAGAAGACATAGTTTAACTATAGCATACAAATTTCAATTTTTCTTAAGCTGGCCCAAAGACAACCATTCAATCCCATAACACCTATCAATAGTATTTTCCCTAACCAATAAGTTTGATCAACCAACCAAAGAACCTAGCATAACCACACATATTGCTTTCATACATTTAGTTGCTAATGAAACATCAATTTACAGAGAAAAAAAAGAATCCAAATAAATTTTATTCCCAACTAATAGGCACAAAAGATAGTTCTATTAAGATTAAAAAAAAAATTAAACATAAAACTTACTATAATTCGACCTTCGATCCTTAAATCTTTCTGCTCAAAAAGCCAAATCTGGATCCGAGCTTTCTGCATCACCAATACACACAATCCAAAAGGGGGTAAAAAGCAAATATTAGTCAAATATCACAAATCAACTATTGAACAACCAAATTTTAACCAGGCCCAAAAGAAGAATAAATTGACCAAGCCAAGAACAAACTTACACTTTGGAGAAATCTGAAAATCAGGTTCTGGCACAGCACAATCCAATACGAACAGGATAAAAGAAAGTAACAAATGAGTAAAACAGATGACATTCAAAACCTCAAAAGCAATTAGCGGTAGTTGTTAAGTAGCTAAATGGTAAAAGAAATATGATAGTTTGAAATAAACGTACAATAGGTTGGGTCATAATCCTCTGGACCTTAGTACTCGCCATAGCTGCAACAATCGCAAGCACTCCTTAAACCCTAAAACAGGTATAATGATATAAGGTTAACACAGTAGACCACTTCTGATTAAAATTTCACTAAACATAAAATCATAAAACAAATTTTCTTACACGCCATTTGGAACAAAAGAATTCAAAATGTAGAGCCCATTTGTAAATGAATCCCAACTAAAATTCATTTCCAAATTAATCTTTCATGTAATTTGATTGATTTCCACGTAATCACATGTCATTTGAAATAAATTTAGAACTGAATAAAAATATTTTCCCTAACAAAGAAATAATACCAGAGCCAGAAACCTAAAATGTAACGATTATCCAGCCCCTTTCTTTCCTTGGAACCAAACAACTGTGATCTACATAGATACATTAGCATCGAATTCTACCATAACCAAACGAACCAGAGACTTTATCAAAAAAATAAAAGATTATAACGCATAAAAAGCACCACGAAGAGAGAATGAAGATTACGAACCGCACCTGAGCAAAGATTCCGTCAAGGATCGACTGAAGCAAGATGAGGGTCTTTGTTTCCTCTCTCCCTTCTCTTTCCCGGCTGAGCAAAAGTTTTGTTTTTAAACTTTAAAGCGCCTAAACCTAGATCCAACGGCTGTTAAAGAAGTAATGTTTAAATCCTACAGCCCAGGAAAAGAGGTGGTCATGTATGGTTGATTCCAAGTAAAGCCTTATATTTAAAGATAAATATTTAAAAAAACAATAAAAAATGATCTGGGCTCAATGTTGGCTAAAGTATTTTTGGGCCCTGAACTTAAGCAAGTTTTTCTATTGAGCCCTTTTTTTGAAACGTTGTCGTATTAAACTGTCTAACTTTGCACAAGAAGCCCTCTTCCAACCCTTTAGACGAAGTGTGCATCCACTCAAAAATTGGAGCATGTCTAACATTATGTCTCCATTAAGCATCCTTTACTTCACATCGAAACGATGACGTGCCAATATTAATTGTCTTCACCTTCCTATTCTACTGCCACATGACCGCTATGCTATAATCATCAAAGAGAAACCTAGTGTCACTTCTTTACTGCATCATCAAAGATTCTACATCACCTCTACATCACATGCTAAAAACTCTGAAAATCGCTGTTCAAGTTTCTTGAAGCTCATCAATAGCGTCCGAACGAAGAGGGCGAATATTTTAGCTCATAAGTAGCTCTAGGGAAAGCGAAGCTATGTACTGTATTTCTTTGAATAATGAATCCATAACTGCTCTCTCACTTTTACTTTTTGGTTTCTACAAGTACGTCGCTACAGTAGCAGTTTCGTTTATGGTGATTTTGTTTAAGATTCAAAGGGGGCAGAAAAGAGAGCAAATCAACACCAAAGCACCACCAGTGAAACCTAAAATAACAACAATTTTCTTGCACTCTTGCGATGACAGCATTTGACGATGTGGCGAGTCAAAAAACGCATCCTAGTACAAGCCTTTTTAACAATCTCACCACAAAGATCTAAATTAAGTGAAAATAACGACATAACAAACTTAGAAAAAGTGGGTATTACCAGAATTGATCCTATAAGATTATTTCCAAAAACATTGAAAAATAATACAACAGATTTGTTAAATGGCAGAAGACGAGTTCCACATCATCATTTCCTCTCTCTTGCCTCTACATCACATGTTAAAAGTTTTTTATATAGATTTTTTACTCTGAAAATCGCTATTCAAGTTTCATGAAGCTCATAAATGGCACCCGAAAGAAGATTGGGAGTAATTTAGCTTATAAGTAGCTCTGGCGAAAGCGAGGCTATGTACTGTATTTCCTTGAATAATGAATCCCTATAACTTCTCTTCTACTTTTTAGTTTCTACAGGTACATTGCTACAGTAGCAATTTCGGTCATGGCGAGTTTTTAAGATTCGAAAGGGGCACAAAAGAGATCAAATCAACACCAAAACACCAGCAGTGAATCCTAAAATAACAATAGCTCTCCTGTGCTCATGCAACGACAGCATTTGACAATGACGGCAAGTCAAAAAAAAAGGAGATTGCATCCTAGTACAGGCCTTGTTAACAATCTCGCTACAAAGATTCGAATTAAGAGAAAATGACGATGTATCAAGCTTAGAAAGAGTAGACGTTACTGGAATTGGTCCTGTAAGATTATTTTCAGAAACACCGAAAAATACCAGAAAATATTGGTTAAATGGCAGAAGAGTTCCATCAAACCAGTCCCACTCTAGCTGAAGCAAGTTAAGCCAGTCGAAAGTAGATAACTGAACCAAAATCTGACCAATAAGGTTATTAAAAGAAAGATCAAGGACAGGAAGCCTATGCAGCTAACAATAAAATGGAAGGAGGTAAATATGCAGAGAAAGAGTTGTGGCTTAACAGCAGAGAATTCTTTGGTTACATGTCCTCTAGCATAGAAGAAGGGTCGGTAGGTTATGGTCCTCATTCAAATTAGGGATTAAAGCCTGGTTTGAAAAATATGATATCGTTTTAATATGAAAGGTAAGACAATCTTTTGAAGCTTGATGGAAAGATAACTCTTTATGCGCTCCAATTTTTTGAGTGGATGCATGCTCCATTGAAAGGGTTGAAAAAGGGCTTCATGTGCAACATTCGCGAAGTTGGAGGGTTTAATAAGACAAAGTTTCAAAAAAGGGTTTAACAAGAAAACTTGTTAAAGTTCAGGGGCCCAAAAATGCTTTCATCCCTCAATTTTTCAGGCTTTACTTTGGATATGATCCTTTTCATCTTTTTATTTTTTATTTAAAATAAAAATATAATCCATCTATCTTAAATATTGATCTTTAGATATGGTAATAATAGTATGGGGTAATTATAAATTGGAAAATAATGAATTGGTACCTGAGTTATAGTTAAATTGACATATGAGGATCTCTATTTTGAAAAACTAATTATGATGACTCTAAATTATGAATTTATTAACACTTTGATCTTTTCATCCAAACTAAAGGGATCAAGGTGTTGATGGAATCATATGTGAATAATTTATTCAGAGCTAGTAGAGCGGGATCCACTTTTTGGGGAATATGAGTACCAAAGTATTAATGACAATTCAAAATAAGGACCTGTTATTAATTTGACTATAATTTAAGGGCCTATTACTTAATCAATTGCCAGTTAAAAAGAGGCTATTTTGGATAGAAGGACCAACATTTCAACGAATCATAAGTTAGAGACTTCTTTAGCTTTTGAAAATAAAAGTTACTGCTATATTTTCAGTTACTTTATCGTCCATTGTGTCTTCATCCTTCATTTTTAAACTATACGACCATGTGTCCATTTATAATTATATGGTAATGAAAGAAAATATGATTTTTACTATTAATTTTTCATATTTCTATTATCAATTACTATTAATTACTCCATTTTATGAGAACCAAAAGCTAATAAAAAGCAAATGATTTTCTCTCCAATTAAATTCTTTAAATTTAAAGTCTTTCTCAATCTTGAAAAATAATAGTAAAATTTAGCTCAAATTAATCATAGCAAAGGGAAAAACAATTACTCAAATATTATACATTCTCTCTCTTTGGTGAAGACATCATGTTAGCACAGAGGAAAATAGCCATGATTCTCTTTTATATATACACTAGATAAATATCAGCGCATTGCCGGGTTACTCTATTTTGATGCACATTGCACTTTGTTTTGAAAATTTTTTAATTTGTAAGTTTATTGTAAATAAATAATAAAAGTAATTAGAAATTTTTTAGATAGAATGAATTTAAGCTATGTCTGTTTAAATTTTTAAGTCTTCAAGTTTACCTTACACTTATATATTAAAAATATCCTATCATGTTCCAGTATTATATAAGGAAACGTAAAAACATTATTTTTTAAGATACACTTACATATCAAATATACTAAAATTTTAAAATGAGATGTGATTAAATTTTAATAATTATTATTAATCATTTTTATAAAATTTATCAGAAATAATTATTATTAATTTGGAGTATTTTTTGGAGGAAATTCCCATTTCATTAGAAGTTATTGGGTAGAACGATTTTTTACCTTTTATGGGCTGCTACTTCAGGGAGATATAAAAGGAAGTTTATTCAGTTGATATTCAACGCAAACATACATACATCAGTATTTCTAGTTTTTCAAAGAGGAGGACATGTTATGTTCCAATTTGTATTTTCTTCTTTCTTTAGTGACAAAACCTTTCTTTTTGTATCTTCAAATGACAATGTATTTAAAGCAAAGGCCGTCAACTGATTAATAAAAAAGGAAATTCATAAAAAAAAAAAAAGAAAAGAAAAATACAAAAGCTGAAAGAAGAGAGCACCAACTCAACTTTTAAAAATATTTTTTTTGCTTCAAGATTATATAGATATATAGATATAGGTAATAAAGAGAGCAATTCAGTTCAAATTGATGCAAATACCCTTAAAAAAATGGACAAACTACAGTGAAGCAATTTACAGGAGGATTTATGGTTAATGGGAATAACTTACTCTTTGAGTTGAGATAGAGCATTTGTCCTTTGCACCCGTAAATTCAAACGATCATGGTTGTAGAAAGATATTTGTAATAAATTATTTAATCAATTTTAAAATGAATAACGAAAACTATCTATTTTTAATATGTCAATACACATATATGAAAATACTAATATTGTAGAAATAAAATTTCAAATTAAAATATCATTAGAATGTTTAGATTATACTCACCTTTAACTAAAAATTTTCTGGAAAACTTCTTTGAAGACAATATTTTTTTTTTTTTTAAATTTTTTCTTAGGTTGATCTTCTTCTTCAACTAACAAAATCTTGATGCCTTGTCTTGAAGTTACTCTTGATAGAGCAACATATAATTGTCCATGTGACAAGGCATGTTGTTTCATGTATTTCCCAACTGTTTTAAGTAACTAGCCCTGACTCTCGTTAATTGTCATTGTGAAGCTCATTGCAATTGGTAATTGCCTCCTCTTATGTCTGTATGGCCACTCCATATCTACATTTGATATTATGATTCTAGGTATCACAACATTGTCTCTAATATTTGATCCAGTAATAATCTTTGCTCGCATGCACCATTTTCCAGGTAGAGCAACAGTTAGTCTCGTGCCATTGCAAAGACCATTATAATGATTTAAATTGCGCAACAACATTATCGGTACACCAACTTTGAGTTGCAGCTCATGTCTTGGCAGTCCTGAACAGATTAAGGAATTTAGAAATTTTGTAGGATAGAGGATGTAATGATAATTTGGACTTTATTAATCTCTCAAAAATAATTACTAACACAAATTTTTTTATCATTTTTTCTATAATATTTAAAAATAATAATTTCTATTCAATATTATTTCAAGCATTTATTTAGTATTTTTTACTTATATAGTATATTAAAATAAAAAAATATGTTCACCTTAATAATTAAGTAAAATATATATACTTTATACATAAATATGTAAAAGGAACTATATTTCTAACAATCATTTTACATTTTAACATCAACCGCTATTGAAAATTTTCTAAATAGCAACATTTATCGACTAACCACCATATACTAACTATCAACAATCAGTTGCTGATTTAGATCCTTAAATTAATTATTATGCAATAGATAATAGGATAATATTATTATGATCCTTCTTTTAATTACATATAGGTCCTTCAAATATTTATTATTTCAATAATAATTTTCTATTGAAAAGTTGAATTCCAGACTTTAGTAAACAAATGCTATCCTAACTTATTGAAGGTAGGCTTTTGAAGGAGTGTTCGCAATAAATAAAAAATATTTTAATTCAAGAAATGAATTTATTTCTCTATTTTTTGAAAAAAAAAAAAAGGTAAAGTATTATTTAGTTCTTAGGATATTGTCAAATTTATTATCTCATCCCTTTATTTTGGAGAACTAATTATATAGTCTCCGAATTTAGTATCCATTCAACTAAATAGTCCATACATAAAAAAAAAGATATTTTACCATGAGTCAACCCAAAAAAGCAAATTCGAAGGTGAGAAAAGACAAATTAATCTCCAAAATACCATTATTTAATACTAACATAAGAGAGTACTAAAGCAAAAATATAAATTGGTTTTAATATATTTATTAAAGACTTGGTTTTAATGTATTTATTAGTATTAAAGACTCATATATTTGGATTTGATTTTGCAAACAAAATTATTAATTTTATTTACTAAACAACATGAAATCCTTGAGAAATTTAAGAGAGACCCAGAAAGAAAATCTCTTTATAAATATCATTAAGTGCTCATACATTTTTATCATAAAAAGAATCATATACAATAGAGACATATAGAGCATTATCAAAAAAATACCTCGAGGACTCTAAATAGCACTTTACCAAAAGAAAAGAGAAAAAGTTACATTTTTATCCCTATTTTTAAATATCATTAACTACTCTATTCTTACATTTTAAAAATTACACTATTTTATCATCATATTTTGTATCCGTTAAACGAAATTATCCTTCCATCCATTATTTGAGATTTAAGCCATTGAGTGCTAATAAAATTATAAGACTAACCTTATAAACATATGAACTAAATAGGAAAGATTATATTTTTGTTTCTATATTTTGACATAATTAACTATTTTATCCTTATAGTTTAAACATTATATTATTTTATCCCAGTGGTTTAGATATATTAATGACTTAAATCTCAAATAATAGACGAAAAAATAATTTCATTTAACTGAGATAAACTATAAAGATAGAATAATGTAATTTTTAAAATGGAAGAATAAAGTAGTTAATTATGAAAAATGTAGAAATAAAGTCTCATTTTTTTAAAAAAAATAATAACACTTCATTTCGCTAAATGGGAATACGATAGTACTGACCGCATCATATCTTTAACTAGTTCTTGCTTTAAAAGTGGGTGAATCCTCTGGTTTCTTGTACAAGTAAAATCCATTTCTTCGCTTCTCTGCTCCCTCTCTTTGTATACCGTCCTATTCGGAAGACCTTTTTCGCTCTCGATCCTTGGCTTCTTCTTGAATCTTTAACCATGGTGCTCGAGGTAAACCCTAAATTTTCTTCTAATTGCATCAAGATTAGGGTTTTCTTGTTGTTCTTGATGATTTAATCGATTAATTGGTTAATATTGTTGATTTAATTACACAGGCAACAATGATTTGTATTGATAATTCGGAATGGATGCGAAATGGCGATTACTCTCCCTCCAGATTTCAAGCTCAAGCTGATGCAGTTAATCTCATTTGTGGAGCTAAAACACAGGTTTAATTTGGTTTTAAAGGATTTTATCCTTTTTTTCCCCTTTTGATTGATCATTTCTAATTGAGTTAGTCTTAACTTGTGAATTTCAAGGGATTTTAAATGAATGTGTTTTGGGTGGTATTGTGCAGTCTAATCCGGAGAATACAGTGGGAGTTCTTACTATGGCAGGAAAAGGAGTTCGTGTTTTGGTCACTCCAACTAGCGACCTTGGCAAGATCTTAGCTTGCATGCATGGTTAGTTTCTTTCCTCGCTTTTTGCATGGTACCTTGTGTTTTTTCGGTTATCCCTTTATGGTGATCGGATTCTCCGTTTGTGGTTGCTAATCTCTCATGAGCATCTAATAGCAACCGCTATCAATTTTTTTTTTTTTTTTTTTTTTAAAGTAGTTTGGAAGGTAGGTATTTAGTGAATAATTCCCCTTTGCAGTATTTTCTTTTCAATTCCTAGTATCATCATTGGAACTTGTTATATTTTTATAATGCATAAAATATTGATATATTTGGACAAAGGTTAGAAAGAGTAAGGATGTTTGTGTAGAGAGGGAGAGGGAGAGAGAGAGAGAGAGAGCTGTTTTTTTATCTTTCAGAGAATGAAATTCGAGGAGTAAATGAAGAAAATGGAGAGTTAAGGGTTTGATGGGGGTCAGGTGGATATTGGAGGCTAGAGTTTGAGACGGGTGGTATCTTATTGAAGTATAATTATGCGTGTCACATCAAGCTGAGAATACCATATGGTGGAACTGAAAGGGTGGGGGTTTGCTAGCTAACGTCGTTCATATACAAGGAGAGGGAGGATAGAACAGAGTGCGAAGGGTAACTTTAGTTTCTTTTTCTCTTTCGTTTCTGTTAGTTAGTTGATGTCTTTAATTTTATATATTGAAAAAATGGGGTTGTGGTTTTTGCTAATATCTTTTAATTTAGTTTGTTTTCAAGTTGCAGACTGTTCTTCGGTAGAAGTTTAATTTTAAGGTGGTTTTTGTAGTTTTTTGTTTTGTATGAAAATCTATTGCACTTTTTCAAGGCATTGATGGAAATTAGACTACTAATTTATTACTTATGGTTTCCACTAAAGAGAAGTTCAGGGTTTGCCATTTGGTATAAATAGCATTATATGTGTGATGCAACAAAATCTTCATGGACTTCTTATTTCAACAAAAAATAAATACATATGTAAAAGACTGTTGCTTCGGTGGTTTTTGTTTAACCATTAAGATTTAATAATTTGAATGATAGGAGGCTGGAATTAAATATTATGGATCCAAATGACTTCCTTCAAGTATTGAATGGATCAGTTTTTTGTAAGAGTTAATTTTTATGAACACCAATCTCAGTTTTTAAACACATCAATGCCTTATTGTGCACTTTGCACCTTCACATTAGACAATTACATCCAAAGTAGAATATGTTGCAGATGGCGTGTGCATGGTTGAGTTCTGTTATTTAAACTATCCAAGTAAAATTTGGTGCCATTTCTGCATCATTGTTTTCATTCAGTCTTTCTGCCTATATGAATCACATTGAACCATGTTGCTCTCCCCTCAATTTTTAGGTTTAGAAATAGGTGGTGAGATGAATTTGGCTGCGGGGATTCAGGTGGCTCAGTTGGCTCTGAAGCATCGTCAAAACAAAAAGCAGCAGCAAAGGATTATTGTCTTTGCTGGAAGGTGTGTTTTGATCATGCCAGCTAGTGCGCTTACATTTTCTGCTATTATTCTTATATTTTAACCAATACAATGTAAAATTGGTGTTTGCAGTCCTATCAAACATGATAAGAAGGCATTGGAGATGATTGGAAGAAAGTTGAAAAAGAACAGTGTAGCTCTTGATATTGTTGATTTTGGTGAAGACGATGATGGGAAGGGAGAAAAGCTGGAAGCTCTTCTTGCTGCTGTTAACAATAACGATACCAGCCACATAGTTCATGTGCCTCCTGGCCCAAATGCCCTTTCTGATGTACTTATCAGGTAAGGTTTTGAATCTTGTTTCTCTTTTGCTTATCATACTTTGACACCATTACTTTTCTGATTCTTGCTGTTTATTTCTTTTGTCCAACGGCAGTACACCCATCTTCACTGGGGATGGAGAAGGTGGAAGTGGTTTTGCTGCAGCAGCAGCAGCAGCTGCAGCTGGCGGAGTCTCTGGTTTTGAATTTGGTGTGGATCCCAATCTTGATCCTGAGTTGGCTCTTGCTCTTCGAGTTTCAATGGAGGAGGAGAGGGCCAGGCAAGAAGCAGCTGCCAAAAAGGCTGCAGAAGAGGCAGCTAAGCAGGAAAAAGGAGGGGAACAGCCATCTAGTTCACAGGACGCAACTATGACAGAAAGTGCCAGTGTTACAGCTTCTGAAGCTGATAACAAGAGAAGTGATTTAACGGTTGGTGTAATCTGTTGTTGAGATTGTTTCTTGCCTACTTTCACTAGTCATTCGTGAATGCTTATTTGTAAATGCTTGTTTGTGTAATGGGTTGTATATGCTATTTAATTCTGAACTGCCATGCTGAGATCTGCTGGAGTTCTCACTTAAAGTGCCAACAGATTTATAGGACTTCGCCAGTAACATATTTTGAGAGAGCTATTGCTGTCAAAAAAACAAAAAATGGAATGGTGCTTCTAAAATAAGCATTTTTATGCCTTGTTGCTAGTAATTTGGTCCTAACTTTTTTGTATCCTTATTTCTTGTTGCTTTTGCTTTCTTGTCCTCATTGCTGGCATGGGATGTGATCTCTATTTATATGGTGACTGACTTTAAATTAACGTAGGATGAAGAGAATGCTCTCCTACAACAAGCTCTTGCAATGTCAATGGATGACCCTGCCTCTAGCCATGAATTGCGAGATACAGAAATGTCAGAAGCTGCTGCAGATGATCCAGAGTTGGCACTGGGTGAGTCCTAATGTCAACTGGAACAGCTTTGTTGTTTATGCATGGGTTTCTGGTTCATCTTTGTCTTTCCTTCATTTATTGCAAGGAACATGATGTGGCAAAATTTTCTTTTATGATTTGCATGGAAAAACTCTGTAGTTCTAATAAAAATGCTTGGTATGGTAAGCAACTTACCATATAGTTAAGTAGTCATACTTGTAATGGGGAAGTGGAAACCTGATGTTTGAAAAGTTCTTGCCACATGTATCACTATGACACTAGCATAATTAGTCTCTATATCGAAGCATTCGCTAGTACTAATGTAATCACATGCTTAGAATGGTGTAGTCAGATTTGGAAATTTGTGCATTTTCTTAGAGAGAAGTTTGCTGATGACTTGCCAGTGAAAAACGCAATTTATTTTGAACATCTTGGGTATGCTTATTGGTTTGGCATTGAATGCCACTGGACCTCTTATGTTCTTCAGTTGATGGAGCCATGCTCTACAGTGTTTATCTCCTCAATTAGGCATTTATCATTTCCTCTACGCATCAATTTTATTGCCAATTTTATTATTGTTGCTACTAATGGGATCATTCTTTTCTAAGCCCCTGGTTTCTGGTGCTTGCAGCTCTTCAATTGTCCGTGCAAGACAGCACAAAAGATTCAGAAAGCCAGACAGATATGAGCAAATTGTTGGCCGACCAGTCGTTTGTATCTTCCATTCTTGCTTCAGTATGGGCTTCTTCATTTTAACTGTTACTTTCATCTTCCCTATCTAACAAAAAAATTGCAAAAGTAATATGGTATCATTAAATGCTGAAATTTTTTGTTAATTCAATGCTTCTACAGCTTCCTGGGGTTGATCCAAATGATCCTTCAGTTAAAGATTTGCTTGCTTCCATGCAAAGCCAGTCTGAGGTGAGTCCGTTGAACCTTTTAGGTAGCATGAATAGAGTATAATAGCGAAATATAATTCTTTTAGCGAGCGTGCTGCATTTGCCTCAAATTTTCTTTTCCTTTTTTTGCTTTCTTCTATGTTTGTTCCTGCCTGTCACAGAAGTGATATGACTGCCTGGTGGACATGGTGATGAAATGTGATGACAAGACTAGATCATATCCCAGCCTTAAACATCTCGAATAAATTTTTTATTGATAATTGACTTCCCCAAACGAATTAGACAGCAACCCTATTTATAATGCGGGTGAATTTCTAGAAACATTTTGAACATAAGGAAATTAACAAGCCTGATTTCATTTTTTTTTTTTTTTTTTATTGTAGCCTCAAGAAAAGAAGGATGAAGACAAGCCAAAGGAGGGGAAATGAAATTCTCCATCGCTGCATTCTCATGCCAAATGAGCTTTAATTGAAAGAATGTTGGAATTGGAAGGTGCATAAAATCAAATCTTTTTTAAGCTTGTTGAACTTTGAGCTTTTGGTCTGAAAGTCCTTTTTCACTGTAGCTGTAACATTTTGATTTGTAATGGAAGGGCTTTATAAGTCGGGCATTATTTGAATGGGAAAAAATGCGCAGAATATTGAATTGTATCCCTCTTTGCAATGTTTCAATATTTTTTTTTGTGGCACATTGTTACTTTAGAACTCGAAACTTTCTGATTTGCTTTTGTTGTCGGTCACAATGATGTGCTATTGTTCTCTCTCCAACTCACCTTAGTTGAGTTTTTAAGTAATATGTCATAAGCAAACCATTGTTTAATTTGGCTTATAAGTTGATTTATAAGTTGAAAAAGCTTTTTAAATAAGTTAAGAATAAGAAATACTTGATTATTATCTATTTATTTTGTAGTTTTTCGACAAAATGAATCCATTAAGTTATAAAAATGGCCAAATTAATTTGTTGTACCTCAAACTTTACTAGATTTAGAGATAATTATTATTTAGTCCTTATAGAATGCCATAGTTCAATAGTCCAATCTATAACAGCCGCTTTATAGCTACCAAAAATCCATATTTCTTTGTCATCTTTAGATTAATGGGCTTAAACTATAAAAATACTCCTAACTAACTAAGTGACTTGTTGCAAAATCACCGCAAAACATTTGTACCATGGGATGATTCCTAAGTTGGAACTGTCTAGGGTTTGGCAACCCTCAGACAGTACAAGTGCTCAAGGATCTTGTCTTGAGCTATAAGTCAGATGTATATATTTTATGGGAACTTTGGTGCACTTAGCGAAATTAGAAGAAATCAAGAGGTTTTTGGGGTTTGATAACTGCTTTGCGGTGGATTGTGCGGATCGTAGTGGAGGATTGGGTTTACTTTGGAAGAATGAAGTTTGTTTAACAGTAACAGGTTTCTCAAATCACTGTATCGATAGTATTATTTCATCTGCGAATCTAGAATGGAGATTTACGGGATATTATGGTATGTCGAAACGAAATGGTAGGATGGCATGAAACTTATTAATGGCTTTATCAGTTAGAGATGCAAGACCGTGGTTGTGTATGGATGACTTTAATGATTTAGCAGCTGCTGATGAGAAGTGGGGAGGGAATGATTACCCAAGTTTTTTATTGAATGGTTTTAGAGAAACTATTCTTGACTGTGGCCTTTGTGATCTTCTAGGGGTATAAGTATACATGGGGCATGCTTTGGTTTGACCAAATTCTCGCACGTGAAAAATTGGATAAAGGTATGGGTAATGGGGCATGCTCAAATCTGTTCTAGGATGCTATTGCTAAGACTTTAGTCAAACCTACTTCAGATCATGACCCTATCTTAGTTCATACAGATGGGTTAGTGGTGCGGGACTATGAGCAACGCTTTAGGTTCGATAACAGGTGGCTTGCAGAGGGGGATATTGCATATGTGGTCCTGGATTCTTGGAAAAAGGGAGCTGATCGGGGAGTTGTGGAGCAGAAACGAGTTTCACTGAGGCTTTGAAAGGGTGGAGAAGAGATCGCAATTTTGATTTTTCGCAAAAGAAGTTGATCAAGTATTTAATGGAGAATTCTCGTGTTACACAGCTAGCAGCGGATGGTCGAAACTTGCAAGTCGAATGGAACCAGATTCTTGCCGAGGAGGAGTTACGAAGATGTCAGATTTCAAAACAATTTTGGCTGACTCAAGGGGATAAAAATAATAAATGTTTCCATCAAGTATAAGGCTAGATGGCGAAATAACAGGATCGAATCTTTGAGGGATGTGAATGGTGTGTTGGTTACCAAAACTGTAGCTGTGCAACAGTTGGTATTCGAGTATTTTTTTTGATGTTTTTGCGAAAGGCGAATCCGAGTTTACTAGGCTTTTAAATTTGGTGGAGGTCGGGATCACTGAGGAGGACAATACCAGGCTGGTGGCGTCAGTTTCAGCAGAGGTGTGCATGGCTTTATTTCAAATGAACCCAGATAAAAGTCCAGGTTCTGATGGTCTAAACCCAGGATATTTCAAAAAGTACTAGAGGATTGTCGGGAAAGATGTGGTTCAGGGATGTAATAAATGGCTTCGTGAAGCTCAGAAACTCTTACTGATACTCTCATTGTTCTCGTTCTCAAAATTGATAGGCCAAAAGCTCTAAAATATTTAAGACCTATTTCTTTGTCCAACGTGCTTTATAAAATTGTTTCAAAAGTACTTGCTAATAGACTTAAGTTAGTTCTTGCTAAAATTATTTCAAAACATCAGTATGCTTCTATTCCTGGTAGATTGATAACCGAAAATGTTTTAGTCTCTTTTGAAATGTTGCATAATTTAAAAAAAGACAAGAGGTCAAATAGGGACTTATGCTTTGAAAGTTGACATATACAAGGCTTATGACAAAGTGAATGGGGACTTTTTTGGAAGGGATGTTAAGGAGATTGGGTTTCTCAGACACTTGGGTTAGATGGATGTGCATGTGTTTTAGAGATGTGAAATACTCGGTTCTGGTTAAGGGTAAAGTGGTGGATCCGATTATGGCTAAGAGGGGTCGGAGACGGGACGATCCTTTGTCCCCTTACTTTTTTTTATTTTTTATTTTGTGCTCAAGGTTTGTCAGTATTATTTTCTGAGGCTGAACGGAGGGGTTGGATACATGGTGGGAGAGCAGAGGTAGATGTCCTAGGATTTCCCACCTGCTTTTTGCAGATGACTCTTAAGTTATTTTCTAAAGCCACAACTATGGAAGTAAGTAAGGTAAAAAATATCCTGGATGAATATGAGAGAGCGTCAGGTTAGACGGTTAACTTTAATAAATTTGGCATTTTATTTAGTCCTAATATGAGGGTGGAGGTAAGAAATTATATTTCAGATATCCTTGGGGTGTATGGTTCTATAGAAAGGGGGAATCATTTAGGTTTATCATCTTGTATTAGGAGAAGCAAGAAACATGTCTTTAATTTTTTAAAAGATAGGATTTGCAAGCGAGTTAACAGTTGGTCAAATCATTTTCTATCTAGAGCTGGGAGGGAGGTTCTTATCAAATCTATTTCGCAAGCGATTTCCATATATTATATGTGTGTTTTTGAATTACCCTTAAGTCTCTGTTATGAAATTCAAAAAATTCTTAATGGCTTTTGTTGGGGTAGGAAGAAGGAGGGTGTGAGGAGTCTCCATTGGCTTTCATGGGGTAGGATGAATCCGAGGAAGGGGGATGGAGGAATGGGATTTCGAGATTGTCGATGTTTTAATGTTACTATGTTAGGCAAGCAGGGTTGGCGTTTGATCACTAATCATGATAGCCTTTTTTATAAAGTATTCAGGCGAATTATTTTTCGGATAGGAATTTTTTACAAGCTTGTTTAGGAAATAATCCAAGTTTTTTTTTTTTGGAAGGCTATATTGTCTTTAGTAATATATTAAGGCATGGTGTAAGGTGGAGGGTAGGAGATGGGGCTAGCATTAAGGTTGTGAATGATCCTTGGCCTGGAAATGAGCGTACTTTCTATGTTGAAGATGGTGCTTCTTTTATTGATCCGGATATGAGGGTAAGGGACCTTTCTGTGGAAGGAGAAAGGAGATGGGATATTGGAAACATTATGAATTTATTTAGTGCCAGTGATGTTCAAACTATCCTTAATACTCCTTTGAGTAGAGGTGAGAGAAAAGATGAGATGGTATGACATTTTGAGAAAAGAGGTCTATAGTATAAGGTCTAGTTACTGTCTAGTTTTTCGCGTTTTAAATAGAGAAGCTAGCAAAGTGCCCGTGTGTATTGGAACAAAGTGTGGAGGTTAAGCATTCCCCCTAAAGTCAAAGATTTTATTTGGAGATGTCGAAGAAATATTTTACCTATTAGAGATAGATTGCTTAAGAGGGGTATTACTATTGCAAATTAATGTCCTTTCTGTCCGGAGGTGGGGAATTTGGATCAGCACCAATCATTGTGAAAGAGCTCGTAAGGTGTGGAGATGTAGGAGGGTTGAGATCCCCATTGCTAATGTCACTTTTATGGACTTCTTTTTGTAGGCAATGACAAACTCTAATGTCTCCAAGGTGGAAGTTTTATGCATGCATGCATAGCAACTGTGGCAGTCTAGAAACCAGTTCATATGGTAGCAGAAAACTATTCCTTGTGTAGCGTGTCACTTACAAGCGGTCGATGCCACAGCAGTTCAAACATGCTTTGGAGATCTAACATACAACTCAAGCTGGAACGGGTCCACAGGCCCGCCATCATCGTATCCAGGAGCTAAACGACGCTGATTTGCATGCCATGAACAAGTTGCGCGTCTGGCATGGACATGTTGAAGGAGCAGTATTTGAAGCTGCTCAACTCGCAGGGTATGACGTGTATTTCGAAGATGAAGAGGGTCGATTTATTAGAGCGCTGTCAGGCTTTTACGAAGGAACTCCAGTTCCAGACAATGTGGAAGTGTTAGCGCTTCGTTTTACTTAAGTTTTGTTATTTCTAATTTGTAGGAGAACGGTAATTTGTACACTGATTCCCAGCAGGTTTATTTTGCTTTAGACTCTAATACTTTGGACTTGTCTGAGTTTGGGATGGTTATTAGTGATTGTAAAGCTTTATTAGCATCTAGGCCTGATGTTGAGGTCAAATGAGTTAGAAGGTCGGCTAATTTAAGGGCTTATAATTTTGTTAGAGCTTCCAATAGATATGCTAGAACCCATATAGTCTATCTCGCTCTTTATGTTGGATTTCTTTTCCTAAAGATAATGGAATACGTATTATTTCTTTTCAAAAAAAAACATTAATACCATTATTCTAAAAACCCGATCAGATTAGCTGGTTAGATCGGTTTAACTGAAAATCGAACTGTGGCTTGGTCTGAATTGCATAATAAAACCAATAGTTTTAAAAAAATTGACATAAATCAGTGAAAATCAATTAAAATAGTAATTCGAACCAGCTGAAAATCAGTTTGATTTAAATTTTGAATTCTTTTCAAAATATGGGTCTTTTTAAAATTTATGCCCCTTAAAAATTAAGCCCATTTAATTGTGGATCTCTTTATTTTTAAATCCAAAGTACTCATCTGCTAATTAAAACAATTAAATTGCCCGACTTTAAAGTTAAATGTAAAAAAATTATATTTTAGAATAATTAATTAATTTTTTTAGTATTAAATTTAGTCATGATTTATTCTTTTGTTTAAAATTATTTACTGTTTTTTTAATTTTTTATAAGAGCCAAATTTGAGACTATCTTTTATTTGATATCAAAGTT